TGGACAAACATGGCTCTATGGACACTTCTTACCTATGTGATCTTGGTAAATAATGTTCCCTTTCTGACTTTCTTTTTCCTTTTATGCAAAATGGTCATGATAATAGTCCCTGCATCATAGATCTTCTCTTGGAGTTCACTGAAATAACACATGCAGAGGATTCCCACAGTGCCTAACATACAGTGAGATCCATGAACAAAGCTGGAAGCTCACTGACTCCCTACTTGCTCAGACTTTCTGTTTTACTCTCTCCATCTTTTATTTTATTTTATTTTATTTTAAATATATTTTATTGATTTTTTACAGAGAGGAAGGGAGAGAGATAGAGAGTTAGAAATATCGATGAGAGAGAAACATCGATTAGCTGCCTCCTGCACATCTCCTACTGGGGATGTGCCCGCAACCCAGGTACATGCCCTTAACATACAGTGAGATCCATGAACAAAGCTGGAAGCTCACTGACTCCCTACTTGCTCAGACTTTCTGTTTTACTCTCTCCATCTTTTAAAAAATATATATTTTTCTACTGATTTCAGAGAGGGAGAGAGAGGGAGAGACAGAAACATCAATGATGAGAGAGAATCATTGATTGGCTACTTCCTGCATGCCCCCCACTGGGGATTGAGCCTTGACAGGGAATTGATCCGTGACCTCCTGGTTCGCAGGTCGATGCTCAACCACTGAGTCACACAGGCTGGGGTAACCCTATTCTTAAGTGAACTGTGACCTTCCAAGTTCCTGGTGAGGTTAATGAGTGGAAAGAATTTGGACTGTAGTGGGGGCAGCCTATATTTGTAAAGATGAATAGTGTAAAGGAATAGGGGCAGCCTTCCCATGACAATGTTTTCTGAAATCTCATGGCCAGACTGCATCAGCATGTTATTGTAGGAGTGAGACATGGAAAGGGAGCTCTCCATTAGTCATAATTTTGCCAGCTCTGCTCTTTGGTTGAACTCAAAATCACCTTTCAGAGGTCGGTCAAGGTGAAGTATGAGGAGTCACAGTGCTTTATTATCCAGACCTCACTTCTCAGAGCCTCAGTGACCCTCCTACAGAATGGAAGTGTAGCAATAAACCTATGTCCCCATTTAATTCCCACAGATGCTATAAAACGAAATGGAATTTTAAAAATTGTGTAAGACCATTAAAGTACTTTTGAGGTTTTCTTTTTTATGTTAATACATAAGAATCATGATGAAAAGTCTTCTTGGAGAGTGTGCTCTCTTCAAGTAGAAGAGACTAAAATAAATAGTTTTGCATTTCATGGGCATTTGTGAGAGATAGTATCACATAGTAGTTAAGAGTACAGACTTTGGAGTCAGATTGATTGGGTCTGATTCTGGGCTCTGTGACTTAAAGCTAATTCTGTGTGCCTGGGTAATGCACATTATGTATATAAACCACATGTTCTGTATCCACTGAAGCATCAATAAAGCAAAAGGGAGAGCCAGAAGACAGGTCTGTGGATGCAGCCAGCTGGCTGGATGAGCCAAGTGGGAGTCAGTAGCACAGTTTCACGTGTAGGCAGCTGGAGCTGGCCAATGTTTAACTGTGCCAATGAAAAGGAAAATGGGGGGCTTGCTACCTAGTTCAGTATCTGGTTAAAACTGTAGTCTTACTTCCCCACTCTGACTGACTTGGGCAGAGCTGCAGAGCCTAATCCCAGGGCCCTGCCACAGCTGACTTGGGTGGAGCTGTGGGGACCCTCAGGGGCCCACCACAGGAGGAGATACATAGGTCAGAGCCTCCCCACAAGTTCAGTTCAGGCTTTGGATCCGGAATTCCCCTGGACTAGCAGATCTGCAAAATGAAGGTTAAACTTTCCTCCCTCAGAGTGCTGGCTGATCCTTCTCCCGTGCATTCTGCCGCACACCAAGACTAAGTGTGCCCCTAAATGGAGTGAAAGGTGGATTTTTTCTCTTTTCATTATGAAAGGACAATTTTCAAAGAAAAGGTAAACTCATGACTCTCCTACGTATGTAAAATAGACAAATGTTAAAGAATGTATTTAGCTGACTCTTTAGGTGATGAAATTAGGCAGGTGTTAGATCCAGTTCAAAGGAGAAAAGCACAAGGCATTTATCTGGATTCTAGAAATGTTACTGTGTAAAGGGAACAGGACTGGTTTTTTTTTTCAGAAGAAGGAGGAGCAGCTCTTACCAGGCGAGATCATTTGCTTATCTGTAGACAAGGACTATTTTAACCTTAGAGCTAAAAGCATCCTTGAAGGATGAGCTCTGGATAGTGTATAGTTTTCCATGGGAGTACA